CTGTGTTCATCCAGCCCTGCACCTTGTTGTCATTCATAATTTGCTCTGTGAAAAATGGCAAAGCAAGAGATTTTCTATTATTTGCACATCTCTTTAAAGTGGAGAAAAATTGCTACCTTAACTACTAAAGAAGACACAACAGCATTTGGGCTTTGAATGGTTTGAACCAATCTTTTTCTATTTTGGAGGTCATTCGCTTTATATTTTGTAGATACTAACGTAAAGTTTGTTGGGTGAAGTTCAACAAAATGAGGAGAAAACATGTGAAACCTGGTGATGACCTAATGTTTAGAAAGGTCACTGATTTTAAAGTGTTTCTCTGCTTTGCTGACAGAATATGTACATGTTTATATCAAGCATCGTAACTCAATAGTAATGGGCAGTACTGTAACAGTGACTCTGGAAAAGCTGAAGTTTAGTTTAAAACAGACACAGTGAATTAGATGTAATAATGTGGATTATTTATCACCCGAATTGGTGATTGTCACGGAATTGTACTGTGTGAATTTCATCCATTGGACTGGATGACATAAAACATGACCAAGCTAAAGCTGAGGTCAAGGTTTGTTAAAAGCAAGTGATAAGCCAGGGAGACACAAGCAAGTCCTAATGATTTAATTGATCAAACCAACATACAAAACAGTACCAGTGGTTGAGCTGATCATTTGTTAGAGACTGGACAATGCTAGAGTTTGAATACGTGGCTTGTCTGTATGGAAAAAGGGTGTAATAAAAGTTCGCCTTACAATACAATTTGCTAGCTCGGGGAAAAGGTTGGTCTATCAAAGTTGGAAGTGGGGACAGTGTGGATTGATCACTGTTCTAGTATGACCTTCGGATAGTCCATATAAATGGGTACACTTATAAGCACTGTAATCTTTTGAAGTGCACTTTTGAAGTGTACTTTGCTTTAATAGAGAACATCGGTTGTTGAATTGCCTTGGGTTTTTGATATCCATAGTAAACTAGACAGCCTAAGGAAGGTGGAAAAAAAAAGGCCTACAATTTGCAGTATTTTCTGCTGCTCTTCAAAAATGCCTGGGATTTGTAGTTTTTTTTATGGCAACTCCTGAATATCAATCAATGTGGCAACTAAAGTAAAAGTCAATATACAGAACAATATGCCAAACAGTGAATACTACCACTGTTGCTAAATTCCTGCCCATTAGCTCAGTAGAATGAACCAGGCCAAATGAATTCAGTCCACTACTGTAGCTCTTAAATTAGTCAGTCAGGCTGTGTCAGTTATTTGCAACCTTGTGCGTGATGACCAGTTCTTCCTTGATTCCTTATTCATTGTATGTCTGTGACTCAAGCCATAAATGAAATTCTAGCTGTTTCCATTCTTAAAACAAACTGAAACCAATGGCATTGTGTTTCTTGGATCTCCTGTTATGCATTGTTTCTTGTTCAAACTTGTTTAAAAATGATTTTAACGTTTTCAAATTCTTTGAATCCTGGATACTTCCAGTACTCCCCTCTCAATCAACTCATCTCTGCAGTTAGTATTATTTGTTCATTAATATTTACCATGTTGCAGCAGTCTGCCTCATAATAATATAGGATTAAACACCCTCACCATTTGCCTTTCTTTAAACAATTTGTTTTTGTCTTCCATCTCCTGCTTCATCTTCAAAAAGCAGAAGAAGAAAATCCAACCCTTCTTTCAATATTATCATTACAGTTGCCCTTCCCTGATACTCACACACCTAAGTATACAAACCTGTTATAGAGTCATAGAGCCATAGATTAATTCAGCGTGGAAACAGGTCCTTTGGCCCAAACTGATCCATGCTGACCATGGTGCCCACTCAGCTATTTCCAATTGCCTGCATTTGGTCCATATCCCTCTAAACCCTTTTCATCCATGTACCTATCCAAATGTTTTTTTAATTGTTGCTATTGCATCTGCCTTGACCACTTTCTCTGGCAGCCCATTCCATATATGCACCACTCTGCATGAAGAAGTTTCTCCTCAGGTCCTTCTTAAATCTTTCCCCTCTCACCTTAAACCTACCCCCTCTAGTTTCCAAATCCCCGTCCCTGGGAAAAAGACTATATGCATTCATCCTATCTATGCCCCTCATGAATTTATGCACCTCAATAAGGTCATCCCTCATTCTCCTATGTTTTAAGGGATAAAGTCCTATCCTGGCTAACCTCTCCCTTTGACTCAGGCCTACCAGTCCTGGCAACATCCTCATAAATCTTCTTTGCACACTTTCCAGTTTAACTATGTTGTTCCTATAACAGGGTGACCAAAACTGTACACAATACTCCAAGTGTGGCCTCACCAATGACTTACACGACTGTAACATAACATCCCAACTCTTATACTCAATGCCTCGAC